CCTTATTTCCCACACCCCCGGCCCACATCCCGCGAAAGTGGAGCAGGCTCGGTGGCTCGATTGCATTCGATGAAATCGCCTGCAATCGGAGAGATTCGAAGTAAATTGGAAATGTCCCGCGGCGCTACTGATTTTTATTTTCGTATACAAAAGTCGTATAGAATAGTTCGGATGAAGGGAGGAAAACGAAAACTCCGCTGTATACAAAGTAGCTCGTCGCGTAGCGAATGAATTTCGAATTTTCTAAGGAATCTCCGATCGTATTTGTTCGAGATGCGGTAATCAAATATCGCACGAAGAGATCGCGCCTCGGCTGCGTTTCGATAACGAATTTTTACGATGGATTGAGATCACTCTGGCAGAAGGTCGGTCCCGGCAGGAAAGTTACGATACTATTGAGCGTTTTCGACGCGAGGAAACGTGCGCACGACATTCCACAGATCTCCTCTCTCCACGTATTTGACGGTTTTACATCGACGCTATAAAAGATACGATCTTTTTCTAGGTACACTTTACACTTTTTTTTATTTATTTAGAGCATTCGATCAGAAATTCGCGCGTCAATAAAAATTATGCCGTAAAATAACGCAGAGCCACGAGGTTGGCGAGGTGTGTTCAACAGCACGTGCGTGAAAATTTCAGATAATTTGACACTTGAGAAAATGCTATCTATGTTTCACTGAAAATATTGTTCAGAAAGACTCCGTCTTGATATACTTCTTCCTCTAATTTATTCTATCGCGCCGTCTACCGTGTTTCATTTCGCTGAGTAAAAAGCTTAGGAGCAAATTTACAGAAGCATTTCACTTGATATCGCAGAATTTTCCTCAGCGGACTATAGACCGGTGGAAATGGCTCGCGTTTCCATTATTTCGACGACATTACCCCAATTCCGCTACCGCGAGCATATACGCGTCTAATTATGGTACAAACGCGCGTCCCACTTTTGCCGAGCGCGTCGCTCGGCAAAGAGGGGCAACATTTTCACTTAAATGGATCACATTTTGGCACGAAATTTTCCGTGTGTGTGACGGGAAGGCGCGATATTGTTCATCACGCGGGCGCGGCGCGGTCTGTCGCGGCAAAGAGAGGACACGGAGAATCTAATTGCGAATAATTAGTACCGCTCGGGATGCATTGTCGCGGCACTCCCGAAGGAGCCTCGGAGAATATTTCGGTCGGGCGGAACAGTCTGGAGTTCTCACGATTCCTCGGATCCCGCGGTTAGCGGAAATCTTTTGGCGTGTAACATTCGACCGCGACATTGGGAGCCCAACCTCGTTCAACCGGGTATCTCCATCTTTCAGCTCGTAATCCCACAGATTCGGCCCGGCCCGTAGAATCACGAGGGTGGATAATTAAATATTTCCGGCGCGGCGACGAAAGCTATAAACAGCGCGGCGTAACGAGGTAATTACGCCCGTTGCGTCCATCGCGGTTATCAGGTTTTACGACGCCAGGCGGTGTGTATTTCCGAGATCTCGCCAGGCCGCGCGCGGTCCATCCTCCCCTTCTCTCAATGCGGGAAACTCCGTCGCCGCGCCGGTTTAATTATACGATGACGCCACATTAAGCCGTTTCAATTACAGGCCGAATATATTTGACGGCGCCCGGCGGAATTAAAAATCTGTATCTCTCTTTCTCTCTCTGGTTCTTGGCGATAACAAAACTGCGCGCAGCGTCGCTGTTGTAATTTTTAAAATCACGCTCGCGTCCTCCGTACATTTTACATTCTCTGTTATTACGTTTCGCCGTGGATTCTCAATAAACCCCTTCAACGCTTCTGTCAAATAAAAATCTTGCGTAATTCTAACGGGATTTCAAGACGAAGGAAAGGAGAGTGAATCATTTCCCCCTTCGGCAATTTCTTGTTGCCGAATTATTTGAATATTATGACTCACATGTCGACGAGTGCATAAAATATGCATTAGGCACTTGAGAATTTAAGTTTCCACGGAAACCGACGCGAATTTGTAATGTAGAACGGGAACCGGGGAGGGGGAAGGAGGGATAGATGCGAAACCGAACTTGCCTCTCGGCTCGCAGTCCTCGATACGCGGCGCGCGCTACCGCTGTTACATCCTGCATCCCGCATCCCGCATTCTCGCGTCCATTTGCGGGGATTTTTAAACGTTAACCCGTTTAATCGGATCGAGATAATCGCGCAGTTTAAGTACAATCGGGGCCGAATTCGCCCCCGTTCGCATTTACGGCCCTTTATTTGCATGAATCGCAAGCTCGGCATCTCTCGGTTGGAAATTCCGCGAGAGTACGATCTCCCTCCCTCCGTGTGTGCGGTTTTACCGATGACACGTGGCCCGCGGGCCACACGCGGGAGGCACTTCTTTTACCCGAGCCGGCGCAAGAGGGACGAGCTATTATCCGGCCCCGACAATACGCCCGACGACGAGGCATTCACTCTCGTTATCGGTAACGATTCGAGCTACCTTCTGGCCGCGTCGACATCGGGGAAATCGCGCTGGCGCGCCTCTTGCTCGATGTCTTTTATCAGAGAGCTACTTTCGAGAGTTTCTCCGAGAGTTTGCTCCGTGGAATCGGCGGCCAAAGAGCGGAATCGGAGTTTCGGGCAACGTTCTCGCAGCGGTGAAAAGTGGTTATTACTTAAAACTTATTTATGCAGGGGCTGCTTTTCGACGCAATATTGCTGTAATATGGCTTCGACAGCCTTTTCCAAATCAGCCTTTATGTAAATACATTTATAAAATGCTAATACCGGTATATTTAAATTGGGAGTAACGACGTAATGCAGCAATATAAGTATGTAAATTTGATATGCTTAGAAGTTATTTTTAACACAAAGTAGCAAAAGACATTAGATACATCGATATAGATACTTTTTACGGCGGAGTTGACGCGGGTGTGTGTATACTTACACACAGATACGCGTAAACACGGAAGAAAATGGAAGAGACACACACGAGAGTTTGTAGCAAGCAGGAGCACCGGAAATTCGTATCTATCCTCCGGGGTAACCCGAGAAACCCGAGGACCAACATCCATGGTCCACCTTCTCTCTCTCTCTTTCTCCTTCCCCTTTTCGAGTAAACTCTATCTTCCTCGCGTCTCCCCTGCCGATGCACCTTCCGCCCCATTCTCCCAAGTTTCTTTTTTACTCGCTTCTCTCCATTAACGTCTTTTCTTTTTCGCGCGCTCGCAAAACTTTCTCATTATCTCAGCGAAAATGCGCGACTCCCTTTCTTGGACTGAGTACGATTCAATTGGTTCTTTTTTTTTATTGTTTCGAATAAGAAAGCGATCCCCCCCCGGGTATTGACCCTGATATGTAGTATGGCGAATCCTACTTACGCAGCATTGTCTGGTTATTTTTAATTCCCGTTGCATTTCGAGTCTGATATTATTTTTTGCATTTTATTGCACATCTCTCATTCCTATTGGTTCATAGAATATTAAGTAGAATCGTTCTGTAATTTCAAATATTCAATGTTCAACGATTAAACATTGAAAAATTGCTTAGAAATTACAGATAGTATAATATATTAATCTCTTACTTAAATAATTTGCATCGAATTGATTAAACACCTTTTTGTGTAATAAATTATAATCTTTATAATGATAATAATTTAAAAAGTTATACATGTAACGTAAATATGATTCAATCGTCGAGACAGGAGTATTATAATGTTTTAAATGAAAATTAACAACTCACAGAATAAATCTACATAAATTGTCTACGTAACCAAAGGTACCTCGATTATTCATGTTAAATTCCAACTGTATTTTCCAACCTCTTTGATATCTCGTGAACGTAACGTGTATGTTTCTTTTTATTAGTATCGATTATTGCGTCAGATACCCAGAATTATATCGTCTTCGCTGAATATATGACTGACTATGGACGTGGCGCGCTCGGCTAATAAGATCGACTAACAGAATGCTTACTTAATAGAATTGTCGGTAGCACGGACGGATGCAGCCCTCCCGTCGTAGCAAATCGGACACGACGGACGTTCCTTTGAAGTTTAATTCCCGATGTAATTAGAGTCACGCCCGGCTATACAAAGTCGACCGTGCGCGTCGTTACGACGACATTGTTCTCGCCGGCTGTAAATTCGTGTCTCGCGGTAGGTGGTACCACCGGCTAACGATTATACGGATGGGATTCAAGTTATTCGTTGAATTTTCGAACGCAGCGTTTTTCGCTGCTCGTCAACGTGACAAAGGGGATCGAGATATGTGAGAATGGGAGGACGAGGCGGCATTCTACCACCTCGGCTTTCCCCGAATTGCATCGCGAAAGTTTTCACGAGGAACTTTTGTTTCGTTTCGGCAACAGAATCCGATTATTTCGTTTTTTTGAATCCACGGTGTCAAGGATTTTTTGCCGAGCGCACGCGACAAAAACGCTTTGATACCTCCGGATTCGTCATACATACGTCATTAACGAACGCGCATTGTTTCCCAAGGTTGATATTAATAATGCTAATTGAAACAGCTTACTCTGACATCTGAGCTGCGGACCCGCAGATTTTCGCGCGCGGGTTCTCTCCTCTTCTCCATTTTCCCCGCGAACGCAAATTATACTAGCTAGTTTGGCGCATATATTTTCCGCTTGTAACTGCTTTGTGAAATATTGCAGAGCGGAAATGGCTGCGGGTGTAACGTACACACAATTCACAAGTCTACCGTCCACAAGTTCGCGCGATTGCAGATAAATTAAAATGATAATACAAGTTGTAAAAAAAATTTATTCACTCGTCGCAACTCAATTTTTTTAGCTCAAGTATTTTGTTAGATTATTAAGTATTACTGAAAACAAGTGCAATTTTTTCGTAATAAGAGATTATCGACGTCGATAAATAGTCGTATACTTTTAAAATTAATTATAAAAATCCACGGGGCATTTTAATGAAAAATTATACTGGTATTTGTGCTTTAATTGCTTCGTTACTGTTTTAGTAGCCTATATTAGATATCCTGCGATCGAGAGGTATTCTGTTTACCCGAGGGATTTAACTTACCCATCTATCAGTGGCACGTCCCTTAGAATTCTGCGAGCTGCCGCGAGGCGATCTCCTGCGTGGGCCGCGAGCAAGATCCTCGTCAGTAGCTGACCAAGGACCATCACGCCCACCACCATCCTCATCCTCCTCCTCGCTGGACCCGCAGCGCGTCCTTACTAATGTCCTCATGCCATCGCCGTTAACCCACCGGCTCACCTGCAGCACTTCCCTCAACCGGGTTGCAGGACGGCCGGGATGTAACAGGATCGTCGATCCAGCTTGTATCGAATTTGCGTGTCTAGTTAACCTCCTCGAAATGATTATTCGGCGTGACCATATTCTTGATCGGCGATAATTTTAAGACGTATCTCTCTCGCGGTACAACAATAGAGATTTATTTTAATTCCTCAAATCTCTTGTAGGAGAAATCTCTCTCTCTCAAACTCGGAGACTGTTCTGTAGGATCTTAATAGCGGGAAACTCCGGGATTCGGGAGGGATCCGGCAATGTTTTTCACCGATAAGGATCAGCCAGAACCACGCACTCGATTTTATCACCGCGCACGTGGAGACACTCCTCTTCTCTCGTCGGGATAACAGAGTTCAGGGATCAGCGCTCGCCTACCTCTTCAACCGGCACTTCTTATCTTCGGCGCATTCGTCTTCACACATCCTCGAGCCCACCCCGATTTCTCACACACAGCGGGCTCGGAGGTCCCACTTTTTTCACCGTCGCGATAGCTACGTCGGGATCCCCTCCCTCTCCTCGTTCTATCCGACCTTTCGGATTAACCTTCCGGTCTCATCGCCATACACTCCGTCCGACGCAGCTGTGCTCAGCGCTTCTTTATTCCTCTCGTCTTCCAGTTTCTTGTCCCCCGAGTGGAATGCTCCCTTTGTCCGACTGTGCCGCGCGCCACTCGCCCTACCACTTAATATCTTCGCGCCGCAAATCCAACCGTCCTTAATGCGGTCGCCGGTCTTTGAGCGCAGCGCCGCAGCAACGCGTTTTAACCGATTCATTCAACTCCCCCCCGCCGCCGTAGCTCGAAATTCCTGCGTCCACTTTCGGAATTAATCTTCCGAAGACGCGCGTCCCGTTGAAGCGCGCCGTTTGTCACCGCTGTCGTTCGCTCGAATGTTTGTAGCAGGTTGACTCTTCACCTGGTCGATTGCGAAATCAATTACTCGACGAGCTCCCGCCCGATCGAGCTATTCGTAATCGCTTGCAAAATGTACCTCTTATACTTTCCCTCGACCTCGCCCTCGCCGCAACAAATTCTTTGAAGGCGAAGATGACTTCCGTAGTGTCGAGTCGCCCCGGGGATTTGCTTCGATAGTTTGATCAGGGAGACAGGCTTTCAGAGGTTTCGTCCTTCGTCCTTGCGTCGTCTTTCTATCCACCCTTAAGGATTGAAGGCCTCACCCTTACCGTAGTAGCGCCCTTATCGACTTCTTCGTCGGCGCTCTAGCGAGAGAGAGAAAGAGAGAGAGATCTAAAGCCGGTCGGTAATCGAAGACACGTCGCCCACCTTCCGCGATCCTCGCCAGTGTAAAGTGCCGCTGGTTGAAACCACTTAAGCGAGGTTATCGATGTCGATGGTCTTTAATTTACGTCGGCATCAACCCCGGGGAGTCTCGCGCTCTCGACGCGCTTTGATCGACCCATCCGCAACGGGTGTATTTAAGGAAATTGAATTCCCGTTAGTCGAAGCACTGTTAATTAAGGCGGCATCTCGAATGTCGAATCTTCTCACCGTCTTTCGCCGTCTTGCCGAGCTCGCCGCGCGTACAGCTCACGCAGCTCGCGCAGCCACCTGCAGTTGAGAGTTTCACAGAATCGGTACCACGACTTCCTCCGGGCGAGGGGAGGAGGGGGAGGTGTCGTACTATGGAAAATCCCACAGGCGGTCCGCTCGTTACGTCCCGAAGATTAATTAGTGCGGCTAGACGGAGACATCGTATTACAGCGCGTACTAGTGCGCGAAAACCTTTTCCCCAGTTTCTTCTTTATTCCCGCGGTCGGGGATCAGTGTTCCGGCGTGTTTTCTGATACGCGATCCATCTTCCGGTATATCCTCGCAACGCGCGATATTCCTCGCGCTACCCCTTTCTCTCTTTCTCTCTCCCTCTTTCTGTCTCCCTTGCCTCTCGGGAAGCGCAAATCCTTCCTCCTCTTCGTTGTTACTAAATCACTTGCAGCGGCGACGGTGTTTCATAATTGCCCGGCGAAGTGTCACTGTCACACAACGCGGCCCGTAAATCCGTCGCGATTAATTCGGCACTCGATTAAGTTCCGCGATTAATTACGCGCACTTGAAACGCCGGGGTGGATGGATCTCACGGCGCTGCGCGGCCAACGGCCTTCGACGTCACACGGAAATGGATCGCCGTGTGCTACTCCGCCCGGATATTTTCTAACTTCCGCTGACCTGTAAGAGGTAGATTTTTCTAACTCTCCGTATCCCCGGTCGGGTCTGCGAAGAATTATCGCGTGGAGGAATCTTCGACGAGGAATATTCTATAGATCGCTGGAAGTCGAACGTGCGATAGTTGAATTTAAATTATCGCAAAGTTTTAAAATGCGCGCTATTATGTCGTTCCGGTAAATTACAAAACTCAATCGAACGGCATTTCAAAATTTGTTTGTCAATCGCGTCGCGCAAAATAAGGCTGAATAAATCGATAGTGGGTCAAAAGGCTCGTGTAATTAAAAATGAATATTTACATTAACAGTTGGCTTTTGTAACGGCGGCTATACGACGTGGCTGTGTGTAGAGAGAGAGAGAGAGAGAAATTTAATGCTACGCCGAGTCCCGGGTGAACCGGGAGTAGAATTTTCGGTCTCTCTCTCTCCCTCCAGCATATAATATGATTATCTCCTCCATTAATGTCTTACTCTCGTCAAAATTAATAGAGACCAGATTGGTTGGCATCGCGTCGGATTACGGAAAGGCGATCAAGTCGGTGCACACGGGCATCAGGTATAATTGATGACTCTAATCCGTTCGTCACTGTTATTCCCGTAGGTATTACCCGTCGCAACATTTCGAGTTATCGTAACATCGGACGTCACACAGCGACGATAATTCCCCGCGTAATCATCCCCGGCCCGTGCTTTCTTTTCTGACGCGTAATCTCGTTGTCCGCCCGTCACGTCCGCGTGACGATCCGTAATCTTCTTAACACGGGCGCGGGTTAGTAATTCGACGGAGCTTATACAGAAGAGCGCGGGTACAAATCGTTGCGCGCGGCGCGGCGCGGTGCGCGGGTGGTCGACGGGCCCGTTGTAACAACAAGGCCGTTAACGTCGATTGCGACTAATGAGTTAGCTTGTTCATAATTATCGGGCGGCGGAGGCCCGCCCCCGCTCACGCCCGGTTACCGCCGCGATACACGGTATTTATCTGCATGCCGATGATTAATTAATGCTAACGGCGTTAACGATCGTGTCTTTTCAACAGCCGCGCGGCATACATTTGCGTACTACATGCTCTTTAACACGGCGGGATTTCGGTATTCAGCATCTTCCCCGTTCACTTTGCGAAGGATTCTGAAACTATAGCTATTCGCCCGGCGCACATCATCGTTTTGAAGCCTCGAGAGAGGTAACGATCGGTGCGAAAACTTGACACAAGCGTTTTCCCATATCAATCACATGTGTGTTAAATTAATTCAGTAATGTTTTTAATGTAATAGAAAAAATACAACGGGCAGACGTATAATGCCGTGAAAAGCCTGGAAAATCGATATTTTATTTATACAACGGATATATTTATTTAGTGTCTGCCATTGTTTGTCAAAGCATTTGTCTACTCGAACTTATAATGAAAAAAAAAAAAAACTGATTTTTCACACAGTGAAACGCAACGAGAAATTTCGTTTCCCGTATCGAATGCAGGTCACCGCGGCGATTCGAACTCTTCGTCCCATTCGTCGTTCGAGCACACTTTTTTTCCCTTCCTTTTACAATCGGAGGGGGAGGAGGGCACGTTCGACGGCGTTAATTGACGCGAGGGAACCTCGTCGACGCCCGTGAGTTTTTAATATTCGAAGACGCGCGCGGGCGAACGTCCCATATTTTAGCGTGACACGGAAAAGTGACAAGTTAATTTAGCGACCGGCAAGATGTACAGCTATCGCTGATAGCGGCGGACTTTTCCAACAAGACGAACACGCGGGGGGAATCGACGTCGCGGATGCATCTGACAGTTGCGTTTCTCCGTCAGACGTTTCGATCGTTTCTTTCAACGACGTATCGAATCGCCGCTTAAAGTTACTTGGAATTGCTTTCGACGAAACTTGGGCGTCCGTCCGGGAGAGAAGTTGTACCCACTCTCATACGCGTCGCGAAATACCGCCGTTGAGAGTTTTCTGTCGAACACCAACCGGCGAAACTGCGAATGATTATTGTCGTTCGGCTGGCGTGTGAACTTGCGCGAAAAGTCGTCTATTTAAACGGCGAACGATTGTCTCTCGAAACTGTGTTTCTCTTCCGCGAAAAGAGAGTTACCCGCGTCACGATTTTCCTTCGTCAACTTACCGCAACTTACATGCAAGTATCTCCAATACTTTTTATGAAAATCTTTCTCTTACGCGCGCTGCAACGCGGAGGGCGTCCGATTTAAATAAACGAGCTTCGCGAGATCTCACCGTGGGCGGTTTCTCTCTCTCTCTCTCTACACCTTTCCACTCCTACAAAAATTTCGGAGTCGTCTCCGCGAGTACACGTCTCGTAAAAGTCCGCGCGCATCTGTTCCGCTCATAAAAAGTCACGGAAGTGCTTGCCGATATAAGATCCTCCACGCGAATTCTCCTCGCGCGACCGCCCTTGCGCAAAACTTTTTTTTTCTCTCGACAGAACTTTCGTCCTTACGAGGGAGCGAGATTACGCGATCCCTGTTTACGGGCGTGCGGATGGTATAACGACGGGACGCCCGGGGGCCACGCTTCACGGGAGAGATGCCCCGGGTGTATGCCGTCGAAAATTTCGTACGTGATCCTACTTCGCTCTCTTCCCCCGACAGCGTACAGTGGGATAGGTCGGGGAGCGCAATCACGACCGACCGTATACCGGAGGGGTGGGTTCCGTCGGGTGGGTGCGTCGCGACGCGGACGACGGCGCGGGATCGTGCCGTTGCTCG